CAGTGATTCCCAGTTTTGGGTTCTGGATGGTGTTGGATTATAACTTCCAGAAACCTTGGCCAGCACAGCTAGTGGTGAAAGTTTCTGAGAGCTTTACTTCAAGAACCTCTGGAGCTCAGATTTGGGATCCATTGTTCTAAAGTCTTACAGAACTACAAACCAGATCTACTAGTAATCTGGAGGTACATAAATCTCTTTGGGTGAATATTAAAGATCAGTCGAGACCCTGTTAGATTTTATGCTGTGATACTTAAGGGTAGGGGTGCCACTGCTTAAAAAAAAAAAAAGATATTGACCTTTTCCCTGTGCATTTAACAGTAGATGAGAATTAATCACCTGAGATTTCTCTCCTCCTTATCACAACAATACACCCACAACAAGACACACTAATCACCCAACTCCTGAAAAGGACAAAAGCCTATCTCACAGCCATAAATACTCCACTCCCAAGCAAACTACACCAGAGCACAGAGTACTGTCTTCTGAAGATGCCGGCCACAGAGGCTGGTGAAACGTTAGGAAGAACAACCTTCAGAACACGGCCAAAGAGCCCGAAAAACCCACAACAACCATCTGAGATTTCCTTATCCAAAAATGCTTCTAACAAATGGATTTCTGCAGATTAAGCCAGGGAGAAGAACTGGGGGATAAGCTGGTGACGCCTTCTGAGCAAGGGTACTCTGCCCATGTTCAGAGGTGCGCTTGCTCAGTAAGGGTTCATGGATTTTCCATGAAGGGCCGAGTGCCATTGTTCCAAAGAGGTTCAGCAAGTCGGCTTCAGAACATCACGAGCAGGAAGACTCAGCGAAAGCACTCGTGTTTAACTTCTTCCTGTAAATAAATATCTAGACAGAAGTTAGACCCCGAGGGATGCTCTGTCTGGTGTGCAGACCCCCCCTGGCACTTCCTGACTCTTCTGTTGAACGTATTCCCACGTGCTCTTTGTATGAAACATTGATGCATTGACAAACATGCTGGAGGCACATGGAGAAGAAGGGGGGGGTCCACTTGGCAGCTGTTGCTGCAGCATATCAGGATTTCTTGGGCTTGGGTACCGCGCCCCCTGCTGGGGATTCCCTGGCTTTGCAACGCAAAAGGGCTGCTCAAAGGTTAAATACATTTGGAGGCCATATAGAGTCGCTGGTCCGTTGGGGTGGCAGCACACGGGAATGATCACAGCCCAGCTATATGGAAGGCAGGATGGGGAATGGCATTTTTCTAGACTACAAATCCCAGGATGCTCCAGGCAGCAGGGATGGTGAGAATTCCAGGAATTGCAGTCCAGAAAAGTTTAATTCCCCATTTCTTGGGAGGTTGTTCTGCCTGTTTCTGACCAACTTATTCCCCATATTAGAATTTTAAAAACAAACATTTAAACCTGTTTCTTTCCATAACACAAAGACATTTGTAGATGAGGGATTTTTTTATTATTATTCTTAAGACACCAACTGAAATGAAATTCTCTGCTGTGCCAAAGCATAAGGCAGTCAGGGACGGCTTGGTTTGGGTTATGATTGTGCCCAAGAACCCTATCCAACTCGAATATATCCCAATTTAATCCAGAGTGATTTAACCCAGTGTATGTTTTGGATGTGAGTCAAAATCAACCTAAATTTCACACTGATGTACAGTGTGAAGTAAGAAATAAACTTGCCAAATTTTAGACACCCCATAAGAACCTAAGAAGAGCCCTGCTGGATTTATAAGCTTTTCATTGACTTCCACTGGAAAACCAAAATGATTATATTAAAACCAAAATGATTATATATATATATAATCAACCAAAAATCAACCTAGATTTCAGACTGATGTACAGTGTGAAGAAATAAACTTGCTAAATTTTAGAACCTAAGAAGAGCCCTGCTGGATTAGGCCAAGGGCCCATCTAGTCCAGCTTCCTGTATCTCACAGTGGCCCCACGAGATGCCTCTGGGAGCACATGAGACCACGAGATCGCTGTCTCCTGATCCCCCTCCCCTGCATCTGGCCTTTTGAGGTACCTTCCTTTTAAGCCGAGAGATTGTACATCCCCATCATGGTTTGTAACCTGTGATGGACTTTTCCTCCAGAAATCTGTCCGATCCTCTTTTAAAGGCATCCAGGCCAGATTGCCATCCTGTGGCAAGGAGTTCCACAGACTAACATCCCATTTCAGGGGGTTTGCATTCTAAGCATCTTTAGTTATTTATAACTCAGTGGTTTAGGCATCTAGCAGTCCCTTCCAGCTCTAGTTTTCCACAGACTAACAGAATAACAGCCCATTTTAGGGGGTTTGCATTCTAAGCATCTTTAGTTATTTATAACTCAGTGGTTTAGGCATCTAGCAGTCCCTTCCAGCTCTAGTTCTATCATCATAGTCGTCGTCGTCATCATCATCATCATCGCTCAGTGGTTTAGGCATCTAGCTGAGGAGGCAAAAGCTAGGAGTTCAGTTCCACCCTGTGCCACCTTGACAGGAGCTGGACTCAATGATCCATAGAGTCCCTTCCAGCTCAAGTTCTATCATTGTCATCGTCGTCGTCGTCATCATCACCATCACCATCACCATCACCATCATCACCATCATCATCATCATCATCATCATCATCATCATCATCATCATCATCATCATCATCGTAGACTTCGGTCTACAGTAGATGGGCGGGGTATAAATTTAATAATGATGATGATAATTACTACTAGTACTACTACTACAACATAGATTTTTTGCGATCGCTATAGCGATTCGCAAAACAGTGATTCCTATGGGGGAATTTTTCTGGACAATGTTTGGTCCCTGCTTCGCAAACCGATTTTTGCTAGATGACGAGTTTCACAGCTCCCTCTGCGCTCGCAAAACGAGTGTTTTTGGGATCTAAGCTTCACAAGACAGCGATTTAAACAGCTGATCGGCAGTTCGCAAAGCGGCTTTCCTATGGCCGATCTTCGCTAGACAACGACAATTCGTCCCCATTAGAACGCATTAAACAAGTTTCAATGCATTCCAATGGGGAAATGCTTTTCGCTAGACAATGATTGCGCTAAGCAGCAATTTTAGTGGAACGGATTATCATTGTCTAGCGAGGCACCACTGTATTATTATTATTTCTAAAGGAACTGGTAGGCTGAAGTGATATGTACCTTCTCTGCTTCTAGAGATGTTTGTACCCTTGATCTGAACCAGTTTGTGAATTTGCTTCACTTCAACTCAGAGCTCAGTCTTCAATCTGGACTCCCTACAAAGAAATCACTCTGCATCAAGCTGATTTGGTTTGGCATTTGCAATCTGTCCGAATCTGGTACTGAGCCTCCGTCCGTATCTTTTACGTGCCCTGCATCCGCAGACAATGCTTCCCCTGTCCCTTCTCGGCCAGCTGAGGTCACTGTTGCCGTGTGATTCCTCACCCTGGCTCATCCTTGCACTTACATTGTCCAAATCCCAGCTGCGTTCTGTGGCCTCTGACAGCACATTGATGCTGCGAGAGGGCATCATCGCATGCCGAGGCACACGCATCCCAAGGAGAGGAGCGCAACAAGCAGCTGGATGGACAGTAAGCGGTTGTTTGCTTTTCCGAAGAGGCAAGGGGCTCGTTCTGATGGCCAGCGGGGAGGCTTCTGTTCTCATTGATGCATTGTTTAGAAGTGGCAAAACATCTCATCCAAAGAGTCACGCAAACAACCCGCTCAGAGAAACCTTCCTGATACAAACTGATGAATGGCATGGAAAACAGACTTATCCTGCCACTGTCTCTTTCTTTCTGAAATCTCTACACAAGGCTATGTCCTAAGCAATCTAGATGTCCAGATATCCTGACCATCCCGAAATCTCATCATGCTTTCTCCAGGGCTAGATTGACCCATCTTCCTTCTTCATTACTAGAAAGGCAAAACTGTAGCATCCCATGTGAAGATTGGATGTGTTTTTGTAGGAATCAAGTAATTAAAAATTGGGCTCTTCTTGCTTTTTTTGTAAAAAAAAAAAACCAGCTTGTTTATGTATTTGATGCAGTCTTTGGGAGGGCAATCAACATCTTTGCCCATTTAGAAGGAAATGCTCTGAACAGTAGTTCCCAACTTTGGGTCTCCTGATGTCCTTGGACTAAAACTCGCAGAAGTCTTCACACTAGCTCTGTTGGCCAGGGTTTCTGGAAGAACATCTGGGAATCCAAGGTTGGGAATGCTGAGCAATCGTTAACATTCTACAGTGGACCTTCTACTTACGGAATTAATCCGTATTGGAACGGTGGCTGCAAGTCGAAAAGTCTGTAGGTCGAATCTCCATTGACCTACAATGCATTGAAAACTGATTAATCCCATAACTGGCAGTTTTTATTCTATTTTTGTTCCATTTTGGTTTTTTTCTGGTCTGTAAGTCGATTCTCCGGCTGCAAGTCGAATCTAAATTTTGCGGCCAGAGAAATCTGTAACTCGAAAAGACTGTAAGTCGAGCCGTCTGTAAGTCAAGAGTCCACTGTACCTGAAATATTTCTTGGCTATACAACCCACTTCACAACAAAACAGGTTCCTTTTTCTGTCATAAGGACTCCAGAGCAGATCTTGCAGTTTCAGTCGATTATACTGGATTTGAAATACATGGATGCTCTAAACAATGGTATTCTTTGAATTAACAACATACATATAATACAAGTATTTATCATATGTTTATTTCACAGAAAACCTCTCAACAGTTTTTGTCTCACAACTGGAATGGTGTTTTCAAGGGGGGGGGATTTATAATTTATAATTTAAAAAACAAACACAAATAGACTATATAAGTTACAATATAAGAGCAAATCTTTTTAAAAATAAAACAAACAAACAAATAAGATGTGGGAGGGGTGACAGGAAACCACAGATTTACAAAAGGCCTGTGGCAAAATAAATAAACAACTCAGAACACTTATCCTTGGAAGAAGGGGAAAAAAGGGGAAGGGAAGGGAGTTACTTCTCTTTAGGTCTTAGGCATCCTTCAGTCTCAAGAGACTATGGTAATGTGCTCTGAGCTGGAGTGTCCTCTCCAGAGCACGAAGCCTGGGTAAAATCATATGGAGGATAGGCTGTTACCCAAGCAGCAAATCCCCCCTCTCCATGTTGCTGACTGTCCTGTTTTCAGAACGTTGATACACAAAATATAGGATATCGGCTGTTGGCGTCATTTTCACTATGGGGAAAGACACTGTTCTGCTAAATGAAGCATATGAAACAACCCTAGTGAGACCTCTTTCTTATTTAGCTCAATGCCTTTTGGTTATATGAGGATAGATCTTCAGCACCTTGGACAGAGGTATATCTCAGTCCAACTGCCTTTGGCCCTTTATCTGGGATTGAACCAGGGGCCGGAGCATGCAAAAGTCTACATCCCATATTTGAGGTCTACATCTTATACAAGCTGCTGCTGATCATGGGAAAGCCAAGGAAGCCAGTGGAGGAATCAACAACCCCAGCCGCTTCTGCTGCCTTTTGCAGGGCAGGTAGGCCTGAAGAAGGCCATGGGCATCCCCTGCCCCAGAGGAGGATGTAGAAAGATAAATGGGGAGGAAGGGGTGTGAAGTATTCAGGAGGGAGTGATTTCTTCCAAGGACAATACAGCACATTGGAAGTGCCTTTGTCAAGAAAGCTAAATGATTGTGAATTACTATATATCTGCCTGGCTTCTTGTAAAGTCTGAGGACTGTGATTTCTTGACTTCAGCGTATTCTGTTGGGGGATTTTCAGAAGTCACTTTTTGGTGAGGTTCCCGTGGAATAAATATAACAGAGACGTAATTCACAGAGTCAGGCTCACTGTAGATTTCATCAGTGCCTTTTCCCATCTTTTCTTGTGCTTGAGAGACGTTCTTGCCTTCCTCTTGGTTACGTCCTATGCTGTTACACTCCTATGAAGTGGAAAGGGAGGAAAACACAGAGAGAGAAAAATATATATACAAAGCCTTGAATTATGTTCATTTTTCAGCCTACAAGAGGGCTGTGATTCTTATGAAAGTCTTTTTAATTCCACAGTTCCAGATATCAGAAGACACACTCATTGGAAGATTCTAGGCCAGCTGTCCGCCAAACCCCAGCTGACATGAGCTGGGGAAAGTTACTTTTTGGGGCTACAACCCACACCAAACCCCAGCTGACATGAGCAAAAAAAGTTGAGGAAAGTTACTTTTTGGGGCTACAACCCACTAAATCCTCCAGCCAGAGTCTCAGAATCCTGGCTGTGGAATGACCTCTTTTTTTAGGCCCAACAGGGACTGACTGTCCCATTTTGACGTCAAGTCTTCACCCAAACGTTTCAAACCTAGTGATCATAGTTTGACTGGTTATTCCTGACTCCCTGCTATTTCTTCTTATTTTAATGTTAGCTTTCATGGACAAGTCTACTTCCACAGAGACGAGAGTGGGACAAATTTTTATGCACCTATACAAGTCTACTTCCACAGAGATAAGAGTGGGACAAATTTTTATGCACCTATACATGGCCCACAAACAAAGAGGGTGTTTGTTTCCTGGGCACAAGTTGTTGATAGTGAAGCATTTCACACCTGGCAATACCCTTTAAGACCTTTGTCCGTATTCATTTTCTGTTCCAGGAAGTATTGTTCTATAAACAATGATTGGGACTAAATTAATCCCAGGCTATAGACAATAAACAGGAACATCATGGTAATAAGTATCTCTAACGCTGCCTGTGAGGTGGCGTTGGTTAATTAGTAAACACAGCTGGGAATTACAGCAGATGCAACACAATGTTTTACATTGGATCAGAACTCTAAGAACCCTTGGCTTATATTGAGTCCACTGAGATGGGTTTTAAACATATGTATATATTTTATCTCAGCTGTCTTTCTCTGGATAATTTTTTCTGCTCCAGAATGGCAACTTTCAGATTTTGTGAAGAATGCCCAGATAAATTAAAATGGTGTGAAACAGGTTTATCTGTATTTCCCTTCCTGATGTCAAATTGGTGTCCATCATTTGTGTACGGTGTATACATTAGTGTTGTAATGCACCAACGTACACAAGTGACGTGTAATGCTGAGAATCTCCCAAATCCCCAAAGCAGAAGTGGATGTCTAGACATTGTTTTGCTCTCCTAATTTAAACAACAAACTACACAGACTCCTGGTGGAATCTGTTATCTGAGTACTGGTGGGGGGGGGGAGAATACAGGCCCACTACCATTGTCCACCTTAGTTATCAAGGGACAGCAGCCCACTTAAATGACTTGAAATCCCATGGCTAGGTAAAGATGGCCCAGGCTGGTACTTGTATAGGAGACCTCCCCGAGGAATTCCAGAGAACTCAACAGAGGGCTTAGGGGGGGAAACCCTGCTTCAAACAATGACTAACTTAGCACAGGGCAGTTTTCTGCATTTCTAGACACAGTTCTGATGTGGATGGCTTAGAAGTGGCAAGGAAGAGGAAGCGCTACAGACCTTGGCAACTGGAGAGTTGATGCTGCAAATTCTTTTCTGTTCTGTGTAAGATTCCACGTCAATCACTACTTTTCCTTCCCTTTCGCACCTGTAAGGAAAGTTCATTCACTTTACTTTTAGCTGAGCCCGGACCATCTCCAGTCTGCTCATAAGACACCTCTCTGTTATTCATATGAAAAATCTACAGGTTCCATACCACTGCCAACAAGAAAAGTGACGGAAGTGCTGACCCTTAGGGTAGGTTTAATTGCCAAAAGGAAAGTCATGATTAGCAGCGATGCGGCAGCCAAAGCATCATACAGTTTTTGAGCATGGCCAGATGAACAGACCTTGTTCCTCACCTCGGAAAAAAGGTTGTGGGGAAAGAAGGCTCAGGGAGAGCCTATGGCACCCCTCTATGTAAGGACCCTTTGCAAACAATCCTTTCTACAGGGATGTTCCGCCTGCTGTAGGTCTTATTTAATAATAATATCCCTTCTCCTTTCATCTCTCTGTTTTTCTTATTTCCTTTATTTATGAATCTGATTACATGCAGACTAATAAATATTTGTGAGTTAAATAATGTGATAAATGAGAGGAGCGGCCTCTTGTTGAAAGGAATCTGAGAAAACCGAGGGCGTATTAGTCATTCTGAGAAAACACATTGATTCAAGCCTCAGGCATCAGAATGTTTTACCGAACGACAACTCAGGGGGCTGCGCGCGCCCGACTCTGTTATATCAAGAAATCTGTATGTAAAAAGAAATCAAGATGGATTGCGAAAAAGACTCGTACATATATTTATAAACGGGCAACTACCATGAGGAAGGAGGAGGAACACTTTCCCCAAGAGGGAACCTTAGATATGCATTTCAGTACTTGGGCAAGTCGGGTTTTCTTTATTACGACGCTTGAGATCCCCCAGACAGCCGAAACATGGGTGAACTCTCTGGGAGACACTGTGAATTTTACTCCTTAACAAAAGTAAGTTTTACTCAGTGACGGAAGAGTCTTTTGTCCCCTGTTTTATGAAATATCTCTTTTGCAGCCTGCTCACTAGAAAGCCTCTGTAGAAATGGATGGTAACAGAGGATATTTAAGTTGATCAATAAGAACAATGGTGCTCTAGGAAATTTTAAAAAAATGTTACTGCCAAAACAAGGTGGTGCACTGATAAACAAAGGGGATTCTCTCCCCCCCCCCAAACTTAATAACACTCCCCAGAAGGATAAACTAACTATATCAGAATCTAATGAGGTTGATATTGGTGGAAACATTCATAAAGATTTCTTATGCGAACTGAAGACTTTGAAAATGTGACAAGGAAAATAAAAGGAGCAAGAATATATTATCATCAATGAGACAGTAAGAGGAAAAAAACGTAGCATATTATCCTCTGCAGGAAATGGAAGAGAAGCTTTTTAAATCATTTGAAAAGATTATACATGTTGTATAGATAATATTTCCAAAGACAAAGGAAGAAAATACACAAAGCCAATTTGTGTTTTAATGTTATGGACCACTTTTCCATCTGTGGAAATTTCTTCATCTGCCGGACTACCATTCTCATAACTTCCAGAGAGAGTGAGTGGATGGGGATAATGGTCTTTGTACTACTACTATGCATAAAGAGGTTGTGGGGAGCTGACACAGAAAGGTGGGAAAGATACTACTAAATACAGGTACAGACAGTAGAGATGTCATGTGGAGTGACCAGGTTAAATTGTTGATGGGATATTCTTGATGATGATCGTGATGATGACAAAGTCCTATTGCCCATTTACACATTCATAAGTGAAATCACATAGGATACATTGGCAAATTGCTGCTAATTAATAAGATGCTACTTGCATTGCTGGTTGTGTGCATCATATGACATGCTCAGATGTGCAACCAGGAAAGTGGAAAGAATCTTGTTAATTAGCAATGATTCCCTGATACATCACTGGCCAAAATGACAATTGACCAGCAATAGGGAAATTTTCTGTGCTGACATCTGAGGTATGCGTTTATAATGTTCGAGTAATCTTTGTGAGAGAAGTTGAGAGTCTGCAAAAGTTCCCTAAGGGGTAGGGTCAAAAAAGGGTAGAAATTCCCAAGAACTGGTACAACTTTCAAAGATCAAAGTGGAGGCAACCATTTTTTTTGGGGGGGGGACTACAACTTCCAGAATCCCATGGCTGGGGGAGTAGGGGAGTTGTAGTCCAAGAAAGGTGTCATTCAGAAAAGGTTGCCTCCCCAAGCTTTGGGAATAACAAAGCACCTTAGCTCAATATGACTTGTGCTTCGTAATTAGGGCCACACCAATTGGATCTAAACAAAAACCCCAATCATGGCAAACTGTGAAGATCACAATTCCTTCCTGATGGGGAGTTGTTCCTTTCTAGGACGTGCCCCCCCTCTCCCATTCTCAGCACTCCCCAAATATTAACAACACGCGACTGCTTACTTTTTGTACATCAAGATGGCTGCCACGATGAGCATGATGACGCCAATCACAACGAGGCCGACGATCACTCCATTAATGACCGTTGGTGACCAAGCACCCCTTGCTGGTTCAGAAAGGAAAAGGGAGAGTTAACGGGAATCTAAATTCCTTTCCTTGTTCTTCCCAGACACCTTTAATTTTCCCTGTTGATTTCCCATTTATACACTAACCAGGACTTAACTCTGCTTAGATTTCAAATCAGTGAGATTTGTCTCTTAGAAACTGGGTTTTTTGGGTTACAAATCCCATAATTCTCCATTCTTAGAGTTCCACCTGCCAGACGGACACCTTGGAGACCCCAAAATGTGGCTCATCTGGGAGAAAGGCCTAAACTTTGAGGCTTTGAGGCCTAGCTAGGCCTAGTTCCGTCCAAGCTTCCTGTTCCTGCCCCAGGGATCGCTGGGAGCTTCCTTTCTGCACAGGAAGCCAAGTAGAGCTAGGCCTAGCTGGTGTCTTCCAGTTCAGGTCCTTCTCTCAGGTGACCCACATTTAGTGTTTGCAAGGTGTCTGTCAGACAGAAGGGAACAAAGGCTATGTCGTCCATGGGGAAAAACACATTTCAGCATTACAGTGGTGTCTCGCTTTACGATTGCCCCGCATTATGACGAATCTGCTTTACAATGATCTTTTTGCGATCGCAAAACGATGGTCTAAATGGGGGAATTTCGCTGTGCGATGATTGGTTCCCTGCTTCGGAAACAGATTCTTCGCAAAATGACGTTTTTCTAACAGCGGATTGGTGCTTTCAAAATGGCCGCCGAGTAATTAAAACGGGTCCCCGCTGTGTTTAGGGACAGATTCTTTGCTATATAGGCAGCGAAAATGGCCGCTGTATGGAGGATCTTCGCTGGACGGTGAGTTTTTACCTCATTGGAACGCATTGGATGGGTTTCAATGTGTTTCAATGGTTTTTTTTATTTTACTTTACGATGTTTTCGCATAACGCCGATTTTCCTGGAACGGATTATCATCATTAAGCGAGGAACCACTGTAGCATCTTTTTCTGGACCATATATTTCTGATTGAGTAGTCAGCTTCAATTCATGGAGGAAATGAAATTTCTCCCTGGCATGCTTTTTCCCCTACATGCTACACGGTGTTTCCCTTTTTCCCCTTGTTCTCTCACACCCATCTCACAACACTGCCTTGCAAGGCAGGCTGTTAAGATTGTTCCTATACTGCAGGCAGAAAAACAGGGGCAGAAGTATTGCAGGTCATCCAAATCTAGCAGTATTCACAGCTATGTTCAGATCAGCATAAGGGCCTTCAAGTCTCACAACTTACATGCTTTTTTTTCTACATGCAACATGGTGTTTCCTTCCTCCCACCCCTTATTCTCTCACACCCATCTCACAACACTACCTTGCAAGGCAGGCTGTTAAGATTGCTCCTATACTGCAGGCAGAAAAACAGGGGCAGAACTATTGCAGGTCATCCAAATCTAGCAGTATTCACAGCTATGTTCAGATCAGCATAAGGGCCTTCGAGTCTCACAACTTTGCACATGCTTACTTAGAAGTAAGCTCCAATGAGTTGAATAAAGCTTATTTTTTCCCCTCTCCTATCCCCAAAGGGCTGGGCAGAGTGTCTTTTATGAACACCCTAATACGTCTTCCAATGTCCTGTCTAACGTTAAATGAGAGGTAATTGCTAATGTTATCCCTCATTAAAATAGCCCCTTAAAACACTGTGATGATTTTAATAAATTGAAAGTATTATTTCTACAATTAAAAATAAATACATGGAAGTACTGTTGCTAATCACTTCCCCCCCCCCCAGCCATTAGACGAAAATAATAAACTTTTAATAGTTCGGCAGTGAATTATTCTAATAGCAATCATTTATCTCTAAAATTAACGTTATTAACAGAGATACACTTAATAAAATCTCACGCAGGTTTGCCTTCTGGCTAGATGTCGAAAAGCTCTTTAGGGAATTGGGTGAAAGGATCGTAAAGTCCTCATTTTAAGAGCACACGATGACCCAGAAAGGAGCCTGGTCATCATTTCAGTTGCGAAGTTCACCCCAGAAACTGTTTTCAAACCTCGTCTTCAATTCTGACTTTTCAGGGTAGAGAATATACAGAAATGCTTTACCCTTCCCTGCCTCTAGAGGGAGCCCTGGGACTGTGCAGCTTGCCCAAGGTCATCCAGGCTGGGTCTTCTCCCAATAAGTATAGTGGGGAATCAAACACCCAGAATTCTTTGAGAACAACATCATACTGAGCTTCACTTACATGTCACATAGAGGCGAAAGGTCACACTGGCAGAGCCCTCTGTGTTTTGCGCTTGGCACTCGTATTCGCCTTCATCTTGCATTGTGACATTCGTAAGCCTCAATTCATCATCCAAAGTCTCATTGAACCTGGAGGATTGTGGAATCTTCTGCCATGTTACAATGGGCAATGGATTTCCTTCCATCTCGCAACGTAACACGACAGTGTCACATTCCTCTACTGTGAGCCGGACGTGATTTGTATAGTTCTGCAAACCTTCCAAAAGATTTTTGGATTCAGATGCGTCCTAAACAAGATGTTTGCTTTTGTTTCAAAGCATCAACAGAGTAAGCCAAAGAGATTTTGCTGCCGGGAGCTGCCGGGCACCCTCCCTCCCTCCCATTCTACATTGAGAAACAGATAGGGCTGCAGATGGAATTCTCAAAGGAAGGGGAGAGGTGAACCCGCCTCCCACTGGATAGAAGTCATAGTCCCAAAATATGCACCCATATGGGTTGAGCAGTAACAAAGGTTGCAAGGTGGGTGCACACTGGAAAATGGTGTTTCATTTTGATTCATAATTCGTGAAGGTCGATGAAACACAAATAATGAATTCACATTTTTTTCCTGACAATCAATGAATTTGTTGACTCATTTTAAACTTTAAAACTAAAATTACCCCCCCCAGCACCTGGAGATGCCAAAATTGCACAGAAGCTTCCCCTGACTTTCCTGTACAAGCTCTGCACATTTGGTGAATATTGGGTTATGGACATTTGAGTTATACACCCACAAATTGGGCCCCCCAGGAAAGTGCCCTTTAGCGGCTAGCTTGAAGGAAACCCAATATTCACCAAAGTTGAAGGACTGTAGAGTCAGGAGAAGCTTCTCTGCAATTTTGGTTTCTCTAGGCGCCTCTAGACTCCAATTTTGGTGTCTTATAGCCCAACAAATTGACAAATCAAAAATTGCAAGAAATGCATTGATTCATATTCATTGGTGGGGTATTGATTGGTACAAATACAAATCAATGAATTAGCAATTTTTGTGAAGTTTTGCAATTCGTTTTTAAATTCGTTCCCATCTTTAAAGTAGTATTGGCTGGTATTCTATTCTCAGCATCAGGGAAATCTGATAAGTTTTCTTCCATTCTAGCAGACTCAATATCACGTGACTAGCCCTCTGGCCAGTTGCACACAACCCACCTTGTAACCACGGCAAGACTGGGCATGTAACAGGGAGCCCATCTGAGCTTGGGGAGCAATTAGGCAATCACCTCCAGACATTCCTACAATAGCACAGAGTACTGGCCAAGAATCTCTCCCCTACCTAACCCACTTTGAGTTGTAGGAAACCCAAACCCAATCTATAGGGATGCTCTCATTTTCCTCTGGAATCTTAGAAAACATTTACATAAAGAGGAAGCCACTATCCCTAAAAGGAAGAGAGAATGGAGCATAACACGGGACCACACTTCCCTCCTTTAGATCACTATTACACCCATTTTACAGATGGCTGGAAAGGATGCTCATGAGTAAACAAATGAAGTGGGAATTGTCTGCAGGTCTCTCACATCTCAAATGCAACACTCCAGTTTCTGGGATGTGCTACTTTCTAAAATAAATATCCACATCTGCAGGAAAATCATGTGGTTTTTTTCCTCCATGCTCTTTGCTTCAATCAGCTTTGGATGAACCATCTCTCTTTATTTTAAAGATCATTATAATAATTGGGAGCATATTCAAATACCCAAAACCTTACTCGTATTCGACCGTATAACTTCTGCATTGATCCGTAGCTTCTGGGGCGCGTCTGTAAGAGAAGAGCAAGCCTTTTAAGGTGAGTGATTCCTTCCAGCAAGGATTTAGGAGAAACATTATGATCCTACAGTTTCTATCATCTTCTTACCCCCCCAACCCTCTCTCTCCAGGCCAAGGTAAGGTGGGCTGCTTCTGGAAAAAGATGCATCATTGGCGAAATCAGATCATAAAGGGGGTGTCCCTTTTTCAGCCACAGCAGTGAAAGCAGCAACACCTTATAAAAATACCTATTGTCAAGGGATGTCACTAGAAGGCTATGAGCCCAAAAGGAAGTATTGCTCTATCGTTACGTAGCTGGTCCCATTAAAGACATCACTCTCTCAATGTCATCAGGACATTCCCCCAAAGGACCAATATGGGAGATCCCACAAGTGAGAAAGCGAAATTAAAAATTACGAAAAAAAATTAAAAATTAATTTCTTGAAAAAAAATGTATCAAAATCCCATGGAAAAGAGACGGGAACTTCTCGTGCTAAGGTTCACATCATGTAGTGTATTGTTTGGGTATTAACAGGGAGAACTGCAGTACAAACAATGGAAAGATATTAATTTAGTCATGCTTTGAGCTAGCAATGAACTAGGAAGTCTTCCTTGCTAGTTCATTCTCATCCCCAATGACCATGAACGGAGGACAGGCTTTGGCATAAAATGACAGTCAAAGTGGTTCTAGTGGGAAAGAGGTATTGACATCAAGACCAACTCACAGCTGACGTTCAGATAGACTGTTTCATTTCTGTAAAGTGGGTCTTGCCCTTCTTCGCCATAGGTGACTTGGCAGGTAAGTTCCTGGCCATCATCTGCAGCTGAGGGTATGAAGCTGAACACGGAGATGTGATCCTTGAAGTTGTTTGCCTGCGTTACACGGGTCCCAGTTTTGACTTGATCGGGAAGGCCTTTCCAGCTGACGTGCGGACGCTTCAAGGCACAACTTTCTGGAGCTATGCAAGTGATATTTACTTGATGCCCTGCCCGAAGATTCCCCGGCATCTGTATTTTGGGGTTTTCTAGTTCTAAGAAGACAGAAGAAGCGTCAGTATACAGTATATCTCTGCCCATCAGCCATGCAATCGCGCTCTCCATTCCCAGTGTAAACTAGATAAACTAGACGTTCTCAGCTGCTCTTTTCATCCTAGAACAGAATAATGAATCCAGGCATTTTATATATGCCTGTTTTCTCAAGAGATGAGGCACTGGTAGATTCAAAGGGATGTGTGAGGTAAGGGGTCTTTGCGTTGCAAACCGGGAATGCTAATTAAGGAGCCAGTTAATTATGCACAAGACATTTCAGGAGGGAAAAGGTTCTAAAATGGTCATGCTTGAGCAAAACATTATTTTAGGATTCCAAGATTTACTCGCTGACTTTTCTTCTGAGGTCAGTGTGGGGAGGTACCACTCACTGCTAGAGATGGGCACGAACTGAACTACGAACCAAAGGAAAAGCCCAAAGCCGGGCTGGTTTGTGGTTCGTTTCCTACAACCCATTTTGCCAAAATGAAATGAACCACCAAACTTTTTTTCCCCTGCTTGGCACTTCATTTTGCTTCAGAAAAACCAGTGGAAACCCTTTTCCCAATGCCCCTGTCGCCTCGCTACCTGGTATGCCAGCTCTTCCTCTTCCTCCTCCACTTCCAGGAACTGAGCCTGCAACAGAGTGGTGATGGGAACAGCAAGAAAAAGGCAGACCGGTGGGCAGCAGAGGGGTGGAGGTGTCAGGTTCTCCTCTCCTCAGGCACAATTTGGAAACACAAACCATACAGCACGTAGTTTTTCCAGGGCTCAAGGGTGGTTTGTGGTTTGTGAGTAGCCAAAAACCACAAACTGCCCCGATTTCTCCAATTCATGTCCATCTTTACTCTCTGCACAAAAGCAGAGGCTACAGAGAGTGGATGGTGTCTCTTCAGGAAAAAAAAAGAGTCTCACCATTTCTGTATTTGTGTTTTAATCCAGGATTCTCCTGCAATACTGGTAATAATGGAAACTTAAGAGAACATCCATTTCCTAAATAGCATGTAAAAATGTATGGGAAATGGGCATTGGCGTGATACGACGGAGGGAGCAAATTAAAAAAAAACAACCACACACAATGTTGTGATGTTTCCAAGAGCATTAAGAACATTGAAGTGTTAAGGACTCTGTGCTTTTGCCTGTAGGTGATAGATGCAGGAGGGGAAGGGGGGGTGCCAGCTCAAAAATGAGGATTTGGTCATGAGCTTGCAAAAAGTCAAGGTCCCCCCAAAAGTCTGCTAAACCTCCATTGTTTGCCCTGGTCCCTATTTATTGAGCCACTGAGGTCAATGACAGCACTATTTAAGTCTACAGAGACTCTGTTGGTTCAATAGACAAAGGCTGGAAAAGATGGGGCTGGAAAAGAGCAGAGCATCTATGAGGCATCTCCACGGAGAGACTGTTTGGGAGCAGGTCGGTTTGTGCCCTGCTGTATCCGCCTGTCGGAGGCCCAAGGACTGTCTTCCGAGCAGGGATTTGCCAGGGGGGAGAGGGGTGTTGTGCTGAAAAAAGGCAAGGTCGCCATGTGGCTGTACCTTACTGTTCTTTCTTTGGTGACCTCAGTTGAGGCTAGGACGATCACCCACCTAAGTATCCTTGGTCCAAAACTCTGAGCCGCCTCTAATCCTGATACAAACAACAGGGACGACATCTACGGACAATCAAAGCTTTGTCTGTGATTTTTTAAAAGAGTGACGAAGCCGAGGTCTAAAATGCTGGTTTCCATTAGTAAGGTGAATTAAATGCTAAATCGTTAGATAAGAATTAGATAATCTGCCAATAGATAATAAGGCTGCAATTTTATGAAGTGTTTTGTTTTGCTGTTTCTGTCTATTTAAAGGTCATTATTGTTTGTTATGGCTATGGTTCTACGCAATGCATTTGTAATAAATGTACCATATTTTTCTGTGTATAAGACACCCCCATGTATAAGACACCCCCCACTTTTCTAATCCAAAATTAAGAAATCTAAGTGGGGCTTAGCAAGTGTAGGGGGAAAGGGATAAAAGAGCTGTAGAATCGCTTTGATCCCTGCTTTCCCCTCCACTTGTTTTTGTTCTCTAAGGTGAATTAAATGCTGAATCGTTAGATAAGAATTAGATAATCTGCCAATAGATAATAAGGCTGCAATTTTATGAAGTGTTTTGTTTTGCTGTTTCTGTCTATTTAAAGGTCATTATTGTTTGTTATGTCTATGGTTCTACGCAATGCATTTGTAATAAATGTACCATATTTTTCTGTGTATAAGACACCCCCATGTATAAGACACCCCCCACTTTTCTAATCCAAAATTAAGAAATCTAAGTGGGGCTTAGCAAGTGTAGGGGGAAAGGGATAAAAGAGCTGTAGAATCGCTTTGATCCCTGCTTTCCCCTCCACTTGTTTTTGTTCTCTCCTCAGCTTACTTCCGTGTATAAGACGACCCTCAATTTTTAGTCTAAACATCTTAGACAAAAGTATAGTTTTATACATGGAAAAAATACGGTAATAAAAAAACAGGTGTGAATGAATCAGGGATGTCCCCCTGAAGGAGAAAGTGAGAGGTCTTCAACTGAAAGATCCTCCTGAATCCTTTTTGGGTACTCTCTAAGCATCCTGGCTTCTTGTCACACCGTACGACAAATGTGGCACAGCATAGATCACATTTTCTGGAACAGTGTCTGTACACTCATGCGCATGTACTTGTGTGTGGAGACCTCTGTTGTGGAAGTGAATCACTTCACCCATTTTGTCGTCCTTCTTTCCAGCCCAGCCCACCTCAAAGCCGCCCCCCCTCAGTGGAGACTTTCACCAGGGACCCAGGCATCACTGTTGGCACTCACTTGTCACGTTCACAAAAGGTTGGACATATTTTGGTCGAATGTAACTAAATTTTGCATCGGGTTCTTTCTCCATTCTGAAAAAGTACTTCTTCTCATCCGTTTCTTTGGCATCCCTGATGATAAGGGAGCAGTTCCCATTTTCTACTTCCTCTGAGAGATTAAAGCGACCACGAGCATAATCCTCGATAGGTTTCATCTTATTATTGGTGGCCACTGCAGGCCGCTCCTCCGTCCATTTCCCTTCCTCGTACCAATAACCATACAATGGGGAGCCAGAGCTGGCAGCGTTTGTGTCATACATGAAATTGCAGGGGATGATAACGCAGAGACCCTCCTGTACTGACACCGTGTCTGGGGCATGGATCGTATACTCTTCATGAACACATCGCACCCCTAAAAAAGAGAAGACATAAAACTCAATCATCCAAGAAGAGGACAATAGCCCTCTCCCCCAGAACAACCATTACTGAAAAATCCTGGTCGGTTCAACGGCAATCTCTTCTTTGTTCCCATCACTCTGCCCTCTCTTTCTTTCCATTCTCCTTACCCTTCCAAAGAAGACACATTGAAACCAGACCAAGACTCAAGAATTCAAGGAAATGACCCATCTTCCGTTCTTCCTGAGACTTCAGTTTCTTGGCAGCTCTTCTGGGTCGCCTGTAGGAGCCTAAGAAAGAGAAATAACGAGGAGAAAAACTGAGGGCCAAAACGGAACAACGTTTGTTCACCATCAAAGTATGGACACCAACACTCTTTTTTGGTCTTTGAAACAAGGTATTCGAGGCAAGCCTTCCCCACCAGCTGTGCTGGCCAGGATTTCTGGGAGTTGTAGTCTAAGAACATCTGGGAACTCAAGGCTGGGAAGCACCAGTTTAGAGTGAAGGATGGCGGAAGAAACTAGTTAGAGATATTATACTTACCTGTAACTAGGTACTTGGGTGTAGCAAGTAATAATACAGTTGCTTTTTAGGTGAAAAAGGTAGCACATAATGTAGGAAACCATTCTAAAGTGACTTTTTAAGGGCATTTCAAGCATTTTAGAGGTATTTTGATAGAAAATATTCAGGCTTTATGCCATTTATTAATCCTAATTGTCAAGGAGAGTATACTTTCATTTTGTGTTTTTATAAATATTCCCACCGTTTGCTAGTGGAATAGCTCAGTGATTTGCGTATCTGGCTGCAGACCAGGAGGTTGGGAGTTTGATACGTCTCTATGCCTCCTTGGAAAAGAGTCAGCCTATGTAGCCTTGGGCAAGCTACAAAGTCCCAGGGTGCCCCCAGAAGAAGCTAAAGGGTTAACCACTTCTCAGTATTGTCTACCTGGAATTGATGGCACATGACCAGAACTAGAGGGAACTAGAGAATATTCCCCCTGTATTCTTCTGGGTGCCTGATAAGAGCTCAAATCTACTAGCCAAAATTATGTTGTGTATGCTTGATGACGTCATAAGCTGATCGCCCTTCCCCAAAAGGTACCACTCCTTCTGTGGGATCCCTTTCATTGTAAGGCGGTTGCTGGAGGCTGCTGGATGGGGGAAAGGTCAGATCTTGGTGCTGATAAATTTCAGAAGCCAACAATTCTCTTGTTCTGAAGCCCCCAATAGCTTCTTTATGATGAAAGGGATCTCAGAGAAGCTTTGGGTCCTTCTGGCAGAGATTGAATCAGCTGTTTTTAATTGCCAAAATAGGATACTACAGATGATAACATCCTCCACCCTACAGGGCATAAATTGCACTTCTGGAAAACCGACTAGCAACCCGCTATACTGATGGATTGTTTGTACAATAAGACAGAGAAAGGAGAGCATTTCAGAGAGGGAACATATGTATCGTCATGGCTAACATGTTGACCATTTTCTACGAATTTGATTTATGGTTGAGAACCACTTCATGCTAGTGAAGACTGAAGACTCCAGTGACAGTGGGATGAGGAATCCAGTCCATATTTTACAGGAGCTATCTAGAACACTGAGCCCTAAACTCCAGAACCTCGGAACCTAAACTCAAGGCCACTTCAGTTTCATGGGTAGCAACCACAACATAGCATTTAATTCCGGGCACAAGATAGTTTTCCTTGGGACTGCAGTGGCCGGGGAGGAAAGATTTAACCCTTCTTTCCCCAGCTGTAATCACACATATACACCCTGCTTTCTTTTCTGCACACTGTAGCCCCAATAAAAATCACTAGCCCTGAGACCAGAATCAAGTTTAAAATATCTGGTGACAATGTTGGCAGACAAGCAGTAAATGTAACCTCTTGTTTCTCCCTTAATCTCAAAAAGTTGGGGATGGCTTTCTCACTATACAAATGCAAGAGTAGGTGGTATGTTTATAGATCACTACAAACAAATTATCATACAATCTGCGAACTTTTGTGGATTGGGTTCATCCACTTTGTCAGGCATGTACCAGTGTGAGGAATAAATCCAAAGTTCATGGCAAGATGGAGGACTCAGGTTTTCTGTGTGACACACACACACACACACACACACACCAGCGAAACATGAAAATTTCTGTTTCAAAGAAAGGACAAATGGGGAGGTGTGTGTATACATGGCCTGTGCCACTTTATTTGAAGAACTGCGGTGTGATAACCAATCCACAGCTGCTTCAGCTGTAACTTTAAAACAACAGCGCTAATGCAGCCTGCATCTGACCTGACCTACACCTGAGAAAGATATGCTTGGTGAAATCCACCTTGCCAAGAACTTTTGCACATTATGTTCTCCACGCTGGTACACACCTGACAAAGTGGGTGGTTCTCATCCATGAAAGTTCAAAGACTGTATAATGATTTTTAGTAGTCTTTAAAGGTATAACCTGCTCTTGCATTTGTATTTTGTAATAACCACGTGGCTCCCTTTTATTTCACTGTCCAAAGTCACAGTTCCTCTTCGTGACTCTATTTGCATAACAGACTTTGCTTTGCATCTTAATGACTTCTATAGAC